TTAAGTAGAGTAACTGTATTTCCCTGTACCTGCTTTCTGGAAAGAGTCCATCAAAAAAGGGGTTTTTGAAACATGCTCAAACACAAACTAACAGAATTGGATTATTCACAGACAGAATGGCAGATAACACTTGCTCTTCAGATAACACCAGACAGACAGACAGCAGCCCTTCTTTTCCCTGCCTCCTTTTTAACAGCCCAGCAAATTAATTTTCCTTCCTTAGAAGTGAGTCTGCCTTGGAGAGGAGTCCAATCACCACACTACAGACTGCCCTAGCAGGGACCTTCTCCCTGCTCCTTCCTTTGATGTTGTTTCACAGCTCAGAAAAATAATTTGAAACTCACTGCAGCAGAGATAGAGCAACACAAGGAGCCCAAATTTAAAGCCTTATGGACAAGGCACAGAGCTAGGCAGGCGGAGACTGTGCTTCCATAGTTTTAAACAGTCACTGGCTAAGCATAAGGTGTTATGAAGCTTCATCTCAAAAAAGCTGCTTTAAATGGCTTTTAAAGCCAATCAGCCCCAGCTCCAAGAAGTGCAGAGAAAGCTGATGAACCTAGGTCCCCAATTCCACTGCAGCAATCAAAAATCTAAATGCTGGCTGCCAATGCTCCCAAGCTTTTCAATGCACCCATGTGCTTCATTTTATCCATCCCTTTCACGGGCATCATGGGGCTGAAGTACTGTTGAAGTCAGCAAAAAAAGCTGCAACTTCTATTAAGATGCTGCTATGATTTAAAGAAGTCCTGATGAATATTAATGGTCTTAGAGGAAGAAAATGTCTATGCTCCTCCACGTATTTTTGAGGAGCTCTTCTGATTTACTGCACAGGATTATATATGGCAGCACTTTGGACTGTGTTTTGCATACGACATGGACACAACTAACTTCTGTAACTGGTACACTTAGCAGGAAAAATTGGTCAAATTTTGTTACCAGGAAGCCAACCTTCAGCTACTACAGCTAATTATTCATACAATTTAGCTCTGGACCTCTGGCTGAAGGCTCATACTGTCAAGGGCACTGGATTATTTTTTACCTCTCATGATAGGAGGTGTGGTTTCTCCCAGCTATTTTTCTTTAACACGCCAAATTAGAGACTGTATTTTGTTGAAGACAGAGCTTTTAACGTTCATCAAATGGAAAAGAGAAGCCAAACATTATCCTCTTATAAAATATTTCCATAAACCACGGCATGGCTTGAGAGCATTGGTAATGCACAGCTAGATCGATGATGGACTCTGACCCAAACATGCTGCCTGCTCCACATCAATCCTCCAGGAGGGTGCTTGCTTCCAAAAGGACAGGTAGAGGCCCAGCAATTGAAAACACGCGCCCTCTTAAAGCAAGAATACACTGGAGTATAAAAGTATTCACCCCTACAACATTTCACGCTTGTCAACTCTTGTGCTCGTCCTCCAGAAATAAGAGAAATAACAGGACACAGAACAGGCCAGAAAATGGAAATGATGAGAATTCCATGTCTTCTTTTCCCTGAGGACTAAGCCACAGTACCAGCATTCATGGAGCTCCAGTCTCCAACTTAACAGCCCATTCAGCAACCACAATAATGTGTACAATAGTTGGTCAGCCTACAAATAGTGCTGCACTCAACATACGAAAGCAATTAGTCATAGGCTTGATAAGGAGGTAAAAGAGAAGAAAATCTTGCCAAGTAGCAATCACATTTTATGCTTGTGTTTGATATGCATTTATATGCCCATATCTCTGTCCAGACACTTGCACTTTAGGTGTGCTTAAAGGGTGAATTTTAAGGAAAAGATGCAAGTATGGTTAAAGAAAAACATTTCTTAATACAGTAATCGAGAGGAAATATATGCCTAAGGGACACATTTTCGGGGGCGGGGGGAGGGAAATACTGAACCATATGCTGCAAATGCATAGAGAACTTCTTTGTAATGGCAAGCTAAGGCTTTGTGAAGATATTAATGTGTACCAGATGGTTGTTAGGTATACAAGGGTTTCACACAAACGCGAGAGATCAGTCTATTCACTCTGTTACTAATGTGTTAGTCTAGTACACACTGAGAAACAACTTTCCACACCCAGTCAAGATAAAAATTTCTCCCACTTCATTTTTAAGAAGCAGGGCAGAAGCAGATTAGTTTTTAACAGCCTGTCCCACTTGTGTCAGAACTGCATTCTCCAAACACTTAGCACTGGGCAGTGGCTGTTCCCAGAAGCAGTATCAGCATGTCCTGTAAGTGCCTGAATAGCCAGTCCTGCTGGGTGAATTTCACCTCTGAGCAGAGTGGCACCACAAATGTATGAGCTACTTAAGTTTCTCTCCTAAACAGAAAAGACTGAGCGGCAGGCAACTCAGTCCTGGCCCTTTCAGACAGAACTGGTTTTAAACCTTTACAATGTGCTGTATAGTTTGTAACATGTAGTGGGCTTTTTTTTTGCCATTACACCATTTTTACCACTCTGGCTATGTATAAATAGACTTTGCTGCAATTTAAAGAGGCTTTAGCATATCTGAGATGTGGGCAATGCCTCTCTGTTAATATCGGTTAGTACCTAAACATCTCAAAAACCAAATCTGCCTTTGTTTTAAAACAAACCACTTGAAAAGCTGGAGGCACAGTGCTTTTCAAACTTCTTTGTTTAAAGCAAAATTTGAAAATCAAAATAGACACACTTTAAAAAAAATCTGGTTTAGATGCTTCCATTATTTGCAAAAAGTTTCATTTGGAGTGCTGTAATCAAGTAACAGGAGGAGAGTAAAAGCACTCAGTGTCTACAGGCACGGATAATGATTCAGAAGGGCTGCACTTCTGCAACTATAGCTTGCTCTGAAGTGCACTTGTAAAGTATAAAGAGTTTTTTTTCTAGTTTAAAACAAAGACAGGGATTCAATATGTATTTGATAGTCGCTTTAATATGCACAAGTCATTAGGATCTCAGAGGTTAAGATGTCTGCACACTATCCTATTAACAGCTATAGCAAACTAATTAAACAATTAGAGGGAAAGGCAAAATCAATACTACAGAGGGAGAAAGAACTATGGCTAGGGGGTAAAATAAGGGCCCAATTCACTAAGAATTGATGTTTCCAAAGGTAATTGAAGCTGCTTACAATTTTGCAGAGGAATCTAGCCTCATCTTCTTGTTTAACTATATGGCTCTTGCATTATTTCTCTCTGACCTTCTGAAACCTGCAGCCTGCTATCTTCTTGAGTGTCAAAAGGGATGTTCTTGAACAGTCATCTGTGTGGACTTTGTACTTTTACTTGTTTACAAACAATCACATGAGACTGCCCCAGAAAGCGGAGCCTACCTGCCAAATTCAGGTGCAGGCTGATGACAAGAATACAAAGATTAAGGGCGTGTTTCTCCTTTCATTCATGCTGCTGCAGATTCCAAGTAAGTCTGTTGAAGTGAGCTGATTTAAAGTGGAGTAAATGAAGAGAATCAGGCCTTTAGGCTTCTTTTACAAATGGAGTTTCAGATGCCTTTGGATATATTTAGACTACTGGATCCCAAAGCACCCTGAGCATTCACTTCATTGGTATTCTGGTATATCCCAACATTCTGAGGCTTCATGTATTGTGAAATACCATTTATTTATGCATTTAATGTATGCACTAACATAAAAATGCATAATTTATAAAATTTTTGTTTTCTCAAAAAAAAAAATATTACTCAGAGTAGTCACTAGAGTTAGCAAACACGAGCATGTATACTGAAATTTTTTACACTCCTCATGTGGAAGCTAACACAGGTGACTAGCACATTTCCTTTCATATTTTGCCATGCTAGGTGAAAAGAAAGACTGACTGCAGTAATATCAAAATAAGTATTTTAACTAAACCCATAAAAGGAAGAGCTGACTTGCCTAGAGGACGTATTATCAGGATATACCTGAGGATGGTTAATGAAATCATCTGTAAAACACAAGGCATGAATGGGAACTAATGCAAATGTTGGGTCAGCATCTCTCCATTGTATCTGCCCACAGGATCCTACTTTAAAATCTGGGTTAACTTATGGAGTCTTCTTTGGGCTTAACATGCCCGGATAGTAAAATGTCCTCCCTTGTGCTACCTGTATTCCCTAGGACTGCAGCTTTTTTCATTCTACTGCTCACTTGAATAACTTTTCTGCTTTCTTGGTCAGAATAAAAGACCAGCCTTTGCTAAAGTCCCTACTAATATGGTAGCTGATGGGATCCAGAACCACAGCCCCAGAGCTATAACTGTGTAGCCTACAAATGCACTCAGAAGCAGGAAATCTGGAACATTTCTGGCACATCAGCACTATGCTTAAGGCCATTTTCTTTATCTTTACATTCAGTAGAACATATTTTATTATTACTGTTCTTTAATTACTGCTCTGTGCATTGGAAATGTAGCAATTTTCAAGTGAAAGAAAGTACAAGCTGTATATGCAGATGAAGCCATGAGTCCTCCACACATTATGAAGTCTCAAATTGTCTTTGATTTTGTACATTCCCTTCACTGGTTTTTATTACCATACTTTCAAACAAGTTTCACCTGCATATTTTCCATTTCCTGGTAATAAACAACATGGGGAATTTGATTTTATTTTTACAAATGTTCAACAGTATTACTATGCCTCCAGTTATTTACATTCTGCTGTACTGAGCGGTTCTGCTCTGTACCTACATATACTGCAGGCAGGAGATGAAAGGATAAATTAAATGTTCATCGCAACTGCTCACTAACCTACCTCTTGCTACATTCAACCAAACACATGGTGAATTTGCCCCAGTTCTGATGAACTGCTAGTCTTGTAAAGCTTGAAAGCAACTTCACAAGCAAGCTCCCATCCCACATGAAATTTGCCACTGACTTCACTGGGAGCAATACCACACATCCTCTTAGCTTGTGGGTACTTATATTTGTTCAGGATGTCTATAAAGAGAAACTATTGCAATATAAGTCCAGGTTTGAAATTAAGTTGATTATTTGTTATGTAGTAATTTCTCATGGAGACATTTATTCTGCACTCCAAGTAACAGCATAATCCATTTCCAAAAATAAGGAACAAAGTGGTGGAAAGTACTGTGAGCACAGAATAATGGCTGCCTCATAGGAAACTGCTCCTTTAGGCTTGCAGAAACTCTCCTGTTCAGTTTAGGTAATTTAATTTGCTATGCAAAACCACATTTTTCTTTTTTTTTTTTTTTTTACAGACCAGGCTTCTTTTGGGTATTAAGATACTACAAGTATGGACAAAACAAATTAGTCACTCTAGAAGTCATGGGAACCTTCAGGAATTTAGGCAAAACCCAGTCACAACTCACATGGCTAAAAGGTTAATTTTCCTTATGAGAGCTCTTTCTGTAACCCAGGAACGGTTCTGCTCCTTTCCCTAAGGTATCTCTTATGGCACCAGCCCTCGTAAGTAGGATGTGAGCTTTGTTCTTCCTGGCAAACAGGTAAGATGCATCCCTGTATCCAAGTGTTCCTTTGTCTGAGTGCTCCGATGAAGCATGCTCTTAATGATGTCTGCTAACATGCCATTAAAATAGGATATATCTGACTTTAATTCAGTGGAGACAGTTTTGAGGGAGGACTAGAGAGATTGAAAATCAAAAGGTATGACTTGATCCTAGTTGTGATTAGTGAATCAGGCCCTCAAAACCAAGACAAAACAAGCTAAAAAGGGTAATGGCTATTTGAGTATGGGAACTATTAACTACAAAAGGATCTGGGAAGAATTTAAAAAAAACCAAACAAACATAAACTGACCATACGCTGTGTCGTAAGACACTTCATGATCGGGTGAAGCAGTTGAAATGTCTATGAACAAAATAAGTTGGGAAGAAACATTGAATAAAACAAAAGTATTAAAATACTTAGAAGATTAGTAAAAAGTGATTCCTCCAAAACGGATTTACTGTCAGTAAGTAATGAAACTAAGAACTTCCTTACCATTCAGGGCTACGAAGGAATCTGAAAGACAAATAACAGGGAAAAAATAATTACTTCTCTCTCATTTTTTCTTCTTAATAGTTTGCTGCTAGCAACCCTTTATGTTTCAGCTGATATTTGTGTTTATGTGATTAGTACCCTCAGGACCTAGCCAAAACTAATATTCAGATATACCCCAAAACTGTATCTGGCTTTGAGAGTGTTCATGACCAGCCCTGTGCAAGGGATACCAAGTGGAAAAGCCAGTGTCCTCCCTGCCACAGACTTCTTTGCAAGATGGAGTCCTAATCTAAAGCAAGGCAGCACAAGGGATGCAGTCAGCAACATGAGCCAATGAGGACAGCAGTCCAACAACCCAAGACCACATGAAGTGATAAGATAGCTGTGTTAGCAGGGAGTGAAATCTACTCCTGTGCAATGTCAAGGTTCAATGCATCATTCAAGGATGCAGAGGGATTTAAGCAAATGTATGGGCTTTATTGCTGTCTACACAGGAGCAGATCTCTCTCTGTGAGCACAATATGGGGTTTCTGGACAATTTCCTACCTTTCTTTTATATTTAGCTGATAACAGGTACACTCCATGCCTGTCTAACCTATTTGCCCAAGGAGGGCAGAACTTGCTGAAAAGGGCAAAGTTGCACCAGCTGGGAACTGACCTGATTTTGGTGCTAACCCATTTTAAAGGGAGCACAGGAGGGACTAGGTGTACACCTCCCTCAAAAAACTTAAGAGACAGCCTATGTAACCTTATCTTAGGGCAGACAGAGGAAGAAGTAGCTGAGACGGGGGGCATGCAGAGGCTGTAATCCCTGACCTCCCTCAATCACGGCAATCACAGTAATGAATGGCACTTGAACAAGGAAGCACAAGGCATGAGAAGGCTTTGGCTCTCTCCAGAGCAGCTGGCCTGCACTCTATCCCAGGGCACACTCTAGCCCTCTGTTATTTTGTTCTGTATTCCAAAAATAACAACTTTCTCACTGTACATTACTTCCTCAACTTCAGTAGTTTTATTGTACCTACAGGCATCATTGCAAATTGCACTGAAAGGAATGTGGTTCTTGATTCCATAAGGTTTATGAATAATATTTGGGGCTCAGAGTGAAACCAACCTTGGCAAGAAGATGGGGAATGAGAAGTGTCCAGAACACAGATATTAATATTCCTGAAGGCTAAGAAACTGGCTTGCAAGGTTTCTTTGCATGTAGTGCAAACTGCGCACTTTTAAGCACCGCAATGCAAAATATAAGTGTCTAAAACATGTTTTTAAGCTTCTAACTCATGTTGTCAGCACATAAAGGTTTAGCAATAAAGTTTCTTAGGTGGGGTCAGTAGTGCCTGATCCTTTATAACACTACGCTGTCCCCCCAATGTGTAAAATCCTCTCAGATTCACATGCTGAGTAGTTCCTACTTCTTTATTTGGATCCAAAGCTGAATATACATTTCACTCTCTCCCTGTCTTCCATGAGAATGTAGTCCAAGTCGCAGCCTACACCAAGAAACCAAGCTACTTCTGTACATCGCCACACACAACCCAACCACCATGGCTAATAAAGTCAATGAACACTCAATTCATTATGTCAGTGATATAATGAATATCCTCTAGAACTGAGGTTTTCTTGCTACATAACTGCTTTGAAGTCTGGTGTTTGTATAAATTACACCAGCTAGGCTGTTTTCTTTAAATACATTTAAACAACCATTCCTCTTCTGAACCTGCATCATCAGCCGTGGTTGCTGTCCCTGTCGTGGGACTTTTCATTTCTACACCCGACAGGTACTAGTGATTTGAGGCATTAAGAAGGATGGTGTGACACATAGTAAATAGACGGTAAATGCTTTGCTTACTTTGGCAGTCACCCAGGCCATCTGTATTGCCATGTTCTATGTCCTGTTCAAATGGCAGTCTAAATAATAGAAAGAAACAAAACTGTGAATAACAAGAGTCACCACCAGAAAGCAACTATCACATATGCAACTGAAATAAAGCCTCACTGTGAAACTGGCCATTTTCTCAGAACTTCCACACAAAGGCTGAAAAATTGCAACATAGGCATTCAAGTTATTTCTCATTGCTTAATGACTTCTTGGCTACTGATGATGCTTTGACTTTTTTTTAAAAAAAAAAAAAATCCACTGCATGTCTCATTGTCAAGGGAGGCAAATAAATTGATGTTTTTTAAACTGTCAACTCTCTATATACTATATATAGGTGTTATTATATAGATTTATGATATTTATATATATATTTACAGATAAGATACTATCAGAGATTTTTACAGATAATATATGATAGTATCAGAAGCAGTTATGATCCTACCTTAACTTGTCCATATGGTAGACAAGGTGCATTTATACTTTGATGTGAGAAGGAAGCTAATGCATTGGGTAGGTGCTGTGCTGGAGGAAGACGACCTGCATTTCAGCAGTCAGATACTGCACTGGGTGAGGTTGCAAGGAATAAGGTCCAGTCCACGGAATACATTTCACTGAACTCAAGGGGCTCTACTGGAAAACACTCACAGGCTTTTCTAGCTGACATGCCCAGTTTATACACTCTTAACCTCTGCCTGTGGTTTGGGATAACTAGCGAAGCTGTTCTTTGAACAGTCAAAGATGAATGACAAGAGCCTAGAAAAACTTCCAACACGAGCCCTTCTCTGCATTAGTTAGGAATCTGCTCTTGAGCCATAATTAAGTGTTTGCAGGCACGTCATTCCCAACTCCATGTTCTTAAAACTCCGGCTTAACTGTCCCCTACTCCAGGAGGGCACCTAACATCTCTGCCTCCTGCTGGCTAGTTTGGAAGTTCACCGTGCACCTTCATGTCTGATCTGGATCCCCTTCCCAAGTGTTATGTGCTGGACAGAGAGCCACCTGCCTTGCTCACTGTGCTGCACTGCCTCTGCCTCAATTAATCTATTGATATATCTGAGAGCCGTTTTTAAGAGTAAGGCATGGAAGTTCCCTACAACTTGCCATGGACTTGCAAAAAGACTCAAGTGCTTTGGGAATGCTGAGAAAATCCCATACAGATGCAGGCGCATTTTAACATTATTCTACCAGATGCCCAGTCAGGAGCAGTCCACACCCTTGCAGTAAGGCATACACAGACAGATGTAGCTACAGCATCCCCAGTGGACAAAACAATTTGAATTGAAACCAAATTAAAAACAAGACATAAGCACTGGGATGGTAACTCATCCACTATATACTGAACACCTGTACAGAAGCAGAGCGAAGTGTGGGGCTGTCAAGGTTGTACAATATTTGCACTACACTTCTACCACTACCTTGATGAAGCATGGTTGTACCTCAGAGTGGGCAAGTGTGAGGTGTGTCAGATGTGGTGAAGAAATAAGAGCTCTAAAGTGGGTCTATTTCTTGCTAGGAGGCCCTGGTAACCACATTTAAGCAAATCTTTGGAGACTTCCATTATTATAAAATAACTAAATTCTACTGTTAAGCACGGGGAGATCCAGCACTTCACTGAATCTGCTTTAAGCTCTTACTGTGCTCTGTGATTCCTCTTAGCAATGCACAGTAAATTACAAGGACTGGTTTTGTTTTCAGTGGACAAATTGCTTCAGTAATTTAATTTGGATTCTATTGCTTCTTTAATCAGCTGTGATGGCTCCAGTGTGGGCTGGTCCAGACATACCCGTCCAGTTCCTTTCTTTCAATAACACGCGGGCCTTAGTACAGCTTTTTCATTTTCTTCCTCCTCCTCTTTCAGTGGTTACCAATCAGCTGAGAGTTCACATCAAAAAATTTGTGAGACATTTCAGAAGTGAATGCAAATAAGGTAGAACCAAACACTTCCCACATTTTTCCTTCCCTAGGAGCTCCACGTTTCCAAAAGCTCCACTCAAGACCGCCCGGCGCCACTGCCAGAGCTTCACGGCCAGTCCAGCCAGAGCCTCTACTCACTTGGAGCCAAGGGGCAGCTGCGTGCACGTCCCGCTCTCCCTCACCCATCCGCAGTAGGGATCTCTGGATGCTATGCAGGCCCTTGAGAAAGAAAAGCACGAGAGGGCATTCATGAGCACTCCCGCCTTCCCCACGCCTGGTGCACGGGCATCTGAACACCACCAGAAAACACCTACTTTTTGCATTTGCCGTGACGCTCACAGCGCCCCAGAGGAACCCTGATGACACAGGTAGAGAAGGCGACGTACAGGGCGCTGCTGGGCTTGTCAAGCTGCATGCCCATGATCCGCTTCTCTTCCACACCGTCGTAGCTGCACCTGAGCCAAACAAAAGTGACAGGAGGTTATAAATGAGTTTTGCTGGGAAACAACAACTTAGTGATTACTCAAGCTGAAAAAAAACCAACCAAAATCCCCTGAGAAAGGCAGAATTGAACGATCCAAGGAAAAAGACCATACAACAGCCACTAAAACCAGCATTAGACGTATAAGTAATAAAAATGTGTGGGACAGAGGAATAAGAAGTGGAGAGGGACAAGCTTTCTGAGGGCCCTTCATTTTTTGTGTTCTTCTTCTCCAGCACTCAAACTAGCTGAAACTTCTGCATGATTATGGCCCTCTTCAAAGCCCTCTTAGGTATATTTGAGGAAGGCTGAAATGTGGGAAATTTCCCTTGAAGAGGAGCTTCCTGGTTGATGAGTTATTTGGAGAAGAATAAATTTTTTTTTTGTAGGATTAGAAAATTAATCTTCCTTCGCAGAATTTCACTTTTAATTATCCATCAACTGCTGCATAGGATGGGCTATTTTCTACACATACTGGAAAAAAAAAATCCTACTGCAATGTAGAGACTGATAAGCAGACAACCCTTCCCTAAACAACTTAAAAGGACTCAAAAACTTGGCTTCTCTAACCACTTCCTTTTTTTGTGGGACAACCTGCTCTCTGGGAAGCCAGAAGTTCAAAGTCACCCATACTTGAGTACAAAGAATCAGATACACACTTTTCAGGGTTGTAAACGTTCATCTCCTCCAGGAAAAGGCTGTCATTTAGGAAACCACTGTTTCCTGTCCGTGCCAAGAACTTCAGGATGATTCCTTTCTCTGATCCCAGGAAAACCACAGTGTAGTTCTGATATGGCCCAGCGGCAGAGTCCACAGCAATTTTAGTCAGGCGGTATCTAGAATAACAGAACAAAATTCTGCATCACTTGGGATTAGACTGGCATTTATTTTATCACTTCTTCCATGTCAGGTAACAGTGTGGTAGCCTTCTAGCAGCTATTTAACTATTTAAGCACTTTTCTTAGCTAAATAACCCTATAAATCAACACAGACTGTACCAGTTTGGTTCCTCAAATGGCAGGGTATTTTTGTGTGATTGTCTGCACATCCACAGGTCCAATAGCTAGCAGAAATGTTTGCAGAAAGCTGAAGGGGTGCTAAGAGTCTGAGAACATTTAGGAACTATTCTTCCAATCAAAAGCAAAGTACTAGCCTGGTGACTTCTTCAGGCAGGGAAAGAAAATTAGCACAGTGTTTTTTTTTTTTTTTTTTTTTCGTAATTTCAATCTCTGTCACATTAAAAGCAGCAATAACGATAACTGGTCTATATTCAACTTTTTCAGCAGAGAAAGATGTGCCAGTGTGACAGTGAGATGCTAGACACTGTTTTACCTCACTAAAAATAATCACACAACTGTCACTAAGTGAGTTCAGTGCTGAGATGATATTGAATCCTGGGATGACACAATTCACTGAAAATGAGTATGGGTGGTTTGGTACCAGTTCTGGTACTGGTGATCAAAGGAAAGTGCTTAGCCAAGCTTTCTGCTCTCATCTTTGGGTGAAGGTACAGAACCTGACAGAAAGACTTGACAGAAGATGCATTAGTGACACTACATCAGATCCTTCTAGAGCTAAACACTGCCTGGCACAAAGCTCTGCCCTTGTATGTAGGAAGAGAGGAAAATACAATCAAAAGTTAGTCATGTTATTCTGTTCACAAGTGAGAGTAGTTAAGTAGTATAGTGACCGTGGCAGAAAGTGGGAACATATTTTGATAGGAAAGGGAGGGTGTATTTGAGCCTTGCTGACTTATGAGTCTTCAAATCTCTTCATTATTGTTTTTCTCTTGTTGCCATAGAAAGGATACAGATTATGTGATTACTTCTGCCTGTACTTTTCTGTAAATATTAAAACACACCAGTACTGATCCAAACAGGCATCTTCATATCCTGTGAACATATCCTGGCAGACATGTTTGTATCCTGTGTACATATCCCTGGGCTGTCTGCTGATCCTTGCCCGAAGTTTTCTATAGAGCCATCTCAAACACTGACCCATAAGCCAACAGGGGGGTAAACCTTCCTCACACAGTGTTTCCTCCAAGATCCGGTTTCAGCACAGTGGGGTTAGAAAGGACTGAAGTTTTTTCCTATCTTGAGAACTGAGCAGTTAGTTCTGTAGCATCTGCTCAGCACTGCTATCATTCCTAGCTGGATGCATGCCTGGCACACAAGGACGTTTACAAAGTTTGAGAGTATTCTGAGCGAGACTATTAGCACAACTTGACAGCTGCAATGAGGGCAAGAGTTGACTTGGAGGTACGTACCTGACCATCGTTCTCAGGAACCAGGGTCTATTGACAATGGAAGGTACAGCCTCATCCATCAGTGGATGTGTTTTGATGAAGTTCAGAGTATCATCTGGGAACTCGTTAGAGCTTACATATTTTTCTAATGATGAAGAGCCGGCACAGCAACCAGGCCTAAATATAAAAAGAGGGTAAAGCCAGGACACTTATTTGATGCCTAGTGCAAGTCTCCTTTTGTAATGAGGCCCTCCGTGAAATCTGATGTGCGTTACAAGGGTTTAAATGGAGAACTGAGAAGCTTGGTGGACTTGTTCAGCCCCTCAGGGGAAGCCTAAAAATCCTGCTCTATCCTCTACTCAAACAAATTTAACTTGTCACCTAAAAGCACAAAGACATTTCTTCAGTAGGAGCACGGCACACACAGTTTGTAGTTCACCCACTCACATGGAACCCGATCACTGCATGTGTGCATTTGGCTTGATGCTGCCTACTGGCACAGATGCTTTCTGATCTGGAACCTACCAGGGTGATTGCTGGAATAAAAGCAGACACTCCCATTCAGAAGGAAGTTAATTTTTTCAACACATGTCAAAGAATGTTACTTTCAGTCCTGTTTGGTTGAAAGTGGACTACTGGAAAAGACAACCTAGCAAACATCCATGTAAATATTTGTTTTATCCTTCTTTGAACTTGGAGTAAGCAGACTGAAGTACCACATTGAGGACTTTCACTGAAATGTTATCTAGTAATTCTCTAACAGCTAAGATGCAAATCTGGTCACCCTATTCCTAAAATCTCCTCCGAGCTAACTTAACCTTCCTGCCTGGTCAGGTCATCTCTACACAAGCAGCAGCAAAATGCTTTACCTATTATTAATAGTTTTTGGATTATTTTCTAAAACAAAACAAAACAAAACAAAACAAAACAAAACAAAAAGTAAAAGAAGTCCATTTGATCCCATTTCCTAAAGCATTATGCTTCATCAAGACTTTGAGACACTGTGATATGAAAGATGAGAGATGAACCACCCAGTCATAAACAGTGTCCAGTTTTCATCTGCTTGGACATTGGTAGAGCCACTGACACCAATGGAGTAATGCCAGCTTGAACAAAATATAGCACTAGTCCAATCATATCTGTTACTCAGATTCAGATAAATATCCAAAGGTAGCACAGGGTTGGAGAGGACTAGCTAGGTCAATCAGTCTGGTTCCACACAGCTGCACAGTGAACAGTACATGCAGAGACTGCATGCTCTGCCTCTCAATGTGCAAAATACTTGGGTGATCTGGTAACTGCATATAGAACTAGCAATAGAGGAAGAGAAGGAGAAACGAAGGAGCATCACTAGTCTCATAGGTTGTTGCAAGGGCACTGATTCATGAGGTGACATTCCTGGAGAGCTCCAGGGAGCAGCCCAGGCCTTCTGGCACTGTGGTGCCTAGGGTTTATGTGTATCTCATCTGGAGGCCCATTTCTGCTTAAATCCCTATCATATGATTGGATTTATGTTTCTTTAATCTCAAAACTGGTTTAACTGAGTAACACAAAACTGAGTAAATCCTGCTGTGCACCTCAGCCAAAAAGGGAAGCGATGCCCCTGAAAAGCTCTGTTATGTTTCTGAGAAATGTTAGGATCAGTAGGAGCACTAATGTTTCTGCATCATACTGAGATATCAAAAAAAACCAAAAAACAAACCCAAACCTTATTTCAAAGGTGTCTTGTGCCTCCCATGCATTTCAACATGAGTTAGAAGCAATGATTATTTCTAATAAGCAGATTAATGGCCAAATGTTACATGAAACATATCCTGCTGACTTAGGAAGAGCAGTATTAACTCATCTTCATCATAACTCTTAGCCTGCTATTGGCTCATCCCACAAAATCATAATGCAACTTTTAATTCTTTCTTCCTACTGAGAGAGAAGATTTCTACTCCTTCCTCCCTTCCCAAACACCCTTGGAGCCCTCATGTAGCCTTGCTTTGCCAAGCCAGCCCATCATGCCAGCGAGTTGGTTAAACATTGCAAAACAGAAGAAAAACCAGTAACAGTGCTAGCAAGTGCCTTATCAAGGCTCAGACCAAAACCAGAGAGCACAGGAGTACTAGGCAATTCTACAACATCACGGGTCAAATCTGGATTTAGGTGGAAGCTCAGCTGCCACCACAGACATACAGATGTGTGAAATGGGTACTTGTAGGGAAGCGAGTGTAATAGAGGAGGCACATGCAAACAGGAGGGAAGTGGAGGAAACAGCTCCTAGGAGAGCAGGTAAAATGAATCTCCATTTTGATGGAATGCTTTTTTTTCTCCCCAGGGTGCTTCCTCCATAGCACATAAATTGCATGTTAACCGCAGAACAGCAAACTGCAGAACTAGTGGAGGCGTTGTTATGAGATATAAGCACTAGTGAACCAAGTTTCAACAGGTGTGTAACTTGTACCACTCCTTAAGTGACGGATTATTCTGACCAAGTGGATCTGATGCTGGCCTGATCTATATTAAAGAAATCTTGTTTAAGTGGAAAAATTTGCACTTGCATGCCCGAGATCCAAATGCAACTCCACTTTCATTTTATTGCTACAACACTTATCTTCAGTTGTATTGGCACCTTACAAAGCTCTTCAAATTACCAAACCCTCTGTTCTGCATGCAGGAACAGAACAATATCACTACACATGAAACATACCTGGGCTTGGGCACTCGTTCATCAGGAACTGGTGTCCATGTGGAATCTGGAGACTTTTGTTCTTTGAATCTCCCAGTAAACACATTGGCGATGTCAAGCATGTCATAGGCACACACTGCAGAGCCAGGGATGCTGCAAAGTGACATTTCCCAGAAATTGTTACTCATTCGGCAGTTATGCATAAAACTTTTGAGTGAAAAACATGCTGTACAGAAGTCTTCCTGTCACAAGCTACTTAATCCTGAACTCTGTAACCTCTGAGCACTGACAGGAAAAGCCAGCCCCATGGAAAAGCCTGAAATACACCAACCAGCAGAAAGCTCCTGCCAGCATAATTTGTTTCAAAGCCTCTACAGAAAGAAGTAATTTCAATAATCTTGAAGAAGGGAATGAATCTGGGAAACTCTGTGTACCACTAGTGATGCATGAGGAGTAATAGCCAGGCTCATTCAGAGCCCATAATGTGGAAATTTAAGTTCTGCTAAGCCACAGCATCTTTCGGTACTAATTCTCATAGTCCTTGCCATGTTTCAAAAATACACTGCAGACAGTTCAGAGGTTGGTGCCGATTAAACTGGGAGCATGCTGCAACGTGCCAGTGACCTGGTATTTGCACATTATTACTCCATCCTCCCCGAGCCTGATCTCCAACAAGTTTTCCCAATGGAAAGGAGCTAACTATGCTCATGAATTTGCTTAACTCAATGAGGTGTAAAGAGCTTATAGAAGCAAATTCAATTTTATTCTTAGATCATAAAGTTGTAAATTTCAACTTTTTGATTATTTGCATCCAACTGCATGATAGCATTGTCTAAACGTAATTATATCCTCACATACATACTTTCTGAAAGGCTTAGGAGATCTCCTTGGTCAGTCACTTGGAAGCATGAATTATTCATTCATCCAGCTTTCACTTTTTTACACATCTCAACTACTGTATTCATGTCTGACTTTCACTATTTGGTTTTATCAGGTAAATAGCATGAACCCAGCTGGCTGAGACTTTCAATCCTGTTTTTAGCTAGTACATTATTATACACCAAAGAAAAAGAATGCAGGAACTATAATACTGTTACAGAGAATAAAATTAAACTCATAAAGGCATATAAATTGATAGAAAAATAACTGCTTGAATATTAAACAGTTTCAAAATGCCTATTGCTGAAGGAAACAACTGGTAGGGAGACAGTCTTACTTTGATCTCCACAGGCTGTGTTTCTATATGGAAGGAAACTTCAAAGATTTGTATTAAAGTGATACTACATACACAGCCACACGTGTGTTGATGAAGAGTTGGCCAAGGGTATATCTGGCCACATAAAACCTCATCTTAAAACACAGCTCAAGATCCACTCCATCTAGAAGACTGTGTAGTTAGTTGAATTCAGCTCTAAAGAAAAAAAAGCCCTAACATTTTGAGGTGTGCTATGCAGAACTAAAAGCACTGAGAATTGTGCTCAACACATAACTACACAGTGATGGATGTTTGCTGTGATGAGAAGACTTTTATTCTTGAGGATACCAGTTTGCAGGTCGGCAGTGCAAAAACGCCATGAGGATGGAGCACTGAGGGTACTCTGGAGTACCCTCATCTCCCAACAGGTCCCAAGAAGGCATCTCTCAAACACTGGACTACAATCCATCACAAGCTCCTACCCTGGCTGACCTCAGGTTAGACTGGGGAAACTCTTCCAGCTCACTCTAGAGGGAAGCTTTGTTCCAGAGATCAAAGATATTTGTTGCAGCTTTTCCTCACTGGAGGAGCAATGAGAGAGATATACCTAAATCAGAAGTAGGTCTGTTAATGAGGTGTCTCCAAGCCTATGTGCCTTCCTGTCACCTGCGACATCTGGAAAAAACTGGGGCCTATAAAATACTAACTTGATTTTAACACCAAGTACTTAGGTTTTAAAATGTAGTGTTTAAGGAAAAGTATTATTCTTGACACACCACAGAAAATACTAGCAGAGTGGGATGTCAATTTTGAGATAATCTCAACATACAACCTATTTTCTGCCTCTGAATCTCTGCTTATTTCCTTGTTTTTATTAAGACAGTTTGCATAATAAGAGATCATTTTAATTGAAGCTTGTATTCCCTGTTGGTGGCATAATTACTCCATTGCAGTTCCTACCATTTTTATGTCACAAGCAGCAATTATACTTTTACAGGCTTGAGCTTACTCTCATTTGAAGTCGCTTCTGTGCATGACCTCATGGAGGTCAGGCTTTTACAAGAGGTGGCGAGCGTACAGCAAAACCAGATGAATTTCAGCAATAAAGTTCCCCTTTCAGCTCAAACATTATTCTGTGAAACAGCAATATATTTTTTTAATTAGAACACTACTTTTTTTTTTTTTTTAAACTTCTCTGGGAGACTTCAATAATTAGATACAGTTACTGGAGAAACATATTACAATGAGCAATGGTAATAAATTCTCTGCAGATGAACCAATGCTTTTGGAAAACCACATGAACAATGAAAAAGAGGTGTTCTGGGGACCCTCCTCCAGACCCAGCAGGACAGCTTAGGATTTTAGCTTTCCCAGGAGAAAATGCAATAGTCAGTAGGGATACATGAAATAAAGGAAGGAGTAGTAACATGGTTTAGATGTAAACAGGACATATCCAGTTCTTTCTCTGTCAGAAAAAGAAATCAATCATATTTTTTTTCTTTGGAATAACATGCTGCAAGTTAAATGCTGCAAAACTTCTTGACGCAGGAATGAATTATTCCCATGTAAAGAAAACTATGTCCAAGGAACATGTCCAGAGAGTAAATGGCTGAAAGCTGCTCTAAATTATCAGATAGAAAGTGCAGTAAGCAATACCAGGGTATCTTAAAATGAAACACAAACTATCGGTAAGTGCACGGTATGTAATAATTACATTGTACGAGCAATCACTTCTTGTAGCTTCACAAAGTGAAAAAAAACTTCAGTGGAAAACGAAACATGACGAAAACAGAAGGCAGAAGGTTACTGCACCTATTACCTATTATATGGAGTGGAGAAGGTTGCTAAAACAACATCCCGGCCATTGAAATGGATAACATCTGTAACCGCCTGCAGTATGTTAAAGTAGAAGTGTGAATCGCCAGGAACCGAGCAGTTCAAACGAGCCTTGAGAAAGGAAGTCCACTGTTTTTCCAGCACTCTCTGAGATCCTCCCATGTCATTTTTGCAAACCTGAGCCACCCTTGGGAAGACTACCTGGAAGGAGTAGAGTAAAAATGATGGAAAAAATATAATATTTGTTTGCCCTAAAAGACTTTGTTGGTACTCTCCTTTTAAAACATTTGGAATAACAGAGCAAGGCGCTTAATTTAATCCCACGTTTCCATAATCTGTGACAAACAAGAAACAGAGAAAAAAATCAGCTTTGGAACAGTGTGCTATAAAAGATAAGGCTGTGGCATTTACTATATAGACATAAATCCTTCAGGAGATCTGTTCTCAACCCATATAAAACTCATTTCCATACAGACTGCTTAGCTTTCTATTTCCCCAAACAAAAGCACATTTTATATTCACAATCCCTGCAACCGACACTCCCTGCCCTGACTCTTGTGTCTTCAGCACTTAAAAACTATGCAAATCTTGCTGGGCTTTTATTCTTGCCCTCCACCTTTGTGACCTTGGTCAGCTTTTCTGGCTGCTTAGTCAGAAAGCTATTGTGAAATTAGCAAAAATGCAAAAAGTGTTTAATTATTCTTTGCAGAACAGCAGAGCACAAAACTCCAGCCCCTGTTTACTCAGCACTCCAATTAAGATTTCTTGAAGAAAAATATTGTCCTGCTTTGGAATCCATTTTTAACAATTACCTACTAAAGTGAAGTAACTACGTTTGCCTGGTGCTTTTTATGATTTGAGAAAAGAGCTCCTACCACACACTGTAAGAAACCACCTTGTTTCCTTTTAAGACAAGTGCAATGTTTCACTCCAACCAACCTTTTGTCTTAAGCAATAGGAATCTTCTCAAAATCATGACCTTGTCATCATGATTTATGGTTCTCATTTCAAGGTCACTACTAACAGCATTGGTCCAAGAATAGCATATGTTTTCCTCCCCCTCCCTGAACCTTCCAAAGTATTTCAAGGCAATGTCTTTGCCCTTACCTTTCCCATGCTGTTGTACTCCACTGCTATTTCCCGGAAGAAGAAGTAAATGTAATTGCCATAGTCCACCGCCTGGACAAAGTATGGTTCTAGGAGGAAAAAACCCAAGACATCCTATTTATGCACATCGCACAGCATATAGCATGCAAAGAGAAACCAAACACATTCACACTAAACATCCAAAGGTGAAATGGCCTCATTACACAAACTTGCTTGGTTTTCAGAACTAGCAACAAAACCACTGCAGAAGAATCATTGTCTGGGGACATGATAGCCGGGGATAAGTCTGTACAACTGAGTGCAAGGTAGTTAAGTGTTTGCCACCAGCACTTCTGGCCTGTGTGGAGCACAGGGAAAGGTAAAGAGGCAATGTATAATGGTATGCCTGAGGGGTCCAGGCAGTGCTCTCTATGGCATGCAGGCTGTGTGTGGAGAGAATAATAAACCATGTAACTTGTTTCTGCCTACACATGTCTGTAGAAGCCAGCAAAGTGGGACAGCTAAAGTTGACACCTGGCAAAACATTTCTGCACGCAGAAAAAGACTTCAAACTATGGTTTTGCTCACTGTTAAAATCACTCCAAATGCTAACAATTAATAACGCCTACAAGAAGCTAAACAGCACCCTTCTTAACAATGAGGTCATTCAGAGAACAGAAATTGCCTAATTCAATGGCAGCTGTAGAGTCCCCAAGAATCATAAAAGAAAGGCTTTGTGCAATATTTTATTTGATTTTCATTGACAAATCTTAATGTTATGGGACAAATGGTCTATACTTCATGAAGCCTTAACTGTTACTTAACATGGTCTTGGGACTGGAATATTTTCAAACACAGTCCAAGTACACTGAGCCCTGTCAGTTCAAACCTTTACATCCGACTGCCGTAAGCTGATGAATTTCAGCTTGGAAAGCCCGCTGGAATATATATTCTGATCTACCATGCTCACAGTCTCTGTCAGGTCCAGTAACTTGGAGTCAGGAGAAGAGGAAAAGAGATCAGTTTAAATAAGAGACGTAATTCAGTTCCCTCTTTCTGCCAGAAAGTGTTGGTTAAATTAAATGATAGAGAGGTCTGTCAGGAATCCAAGACTCTCATCAGAAATGTCACTTTTTTTGTGTTGTTTGTTTAGCTACCTTTCAACCACTTTGAGTCATGTTTAACTGTCCGCAGAGTTGGGCTGTCTCCAAGGCTCCGGTATATGACTGCATCTATTGCAAGGAAGTCAGTCACTGTGGCAGAATACAGCTTTCCCTCTGGGGAGGAAGGAAAAAAGAAACAAGAGGGGAGGAGAATTAGAAACAATATAATTGCTTTCATTCATCAGTCAAATGAGATGGGGCAAAGAAAATCATCACAATCTCCTAAGGAACACTGAAGGGAAAAAGGCCAGATAGTAAGTGGGACTGAAGAAGCAAGTCACCATTTTCAAAATGGTAATTTCAGAGCTGCGCTGTGGACAAAGAAACCTTATGGAGTCATTCTTCTTCATTTTTAGGTAAGTCACTCTGAAGTACCCTATCCAAGTCTCCATGCACCTGCCTTTGGCTCAATGCTCATAAATTCTGCCTACATAAGTGAGCAAAATAAACATGGGGAAGCCACAGCAGAACTGTTAGCTTTAACAGGGAGGGCAAACCAGGCAGGTCTTAGGGATGGTAAGTTAATTGACACTTATGCAAATTTCTCCCTTTGAGAGCACTTCTCCTCTGCCAAAGATCACTAGCGAAAAATTAAATAGCATGCAGGGAGCCCAGGCAAAACAGGGAAACAAAGAGATGGAGGAGGATTGCCTATCTATGTTTTGTTTCTAAAATGCATTTTAGGCATTTCCCACATGAATTATGCATTTCTGTCTTTTAAAGAATCAGAGGACAAGCGATAAGAAAAGGTCTACAAAATGGCATCCCAAGGGCAATCAAAAGATGCAAAACTACCATGAGGTAGCATGAGCTCCAGCAACATTTAAAAATTTTATTTGTTGTCTAATCTGTTTGCGGGTCATGGTAATTGTACAGGGCTGTTTTCATGCGTGATACAGCTACTGGAACATGACGCCTGGTAGAAGAACAAGCACCACAGCACAAGGACAGCAATTGCTGTCTCTGTTGCATATACACAAAAATCAGAATGGCCTATATCTCCTCTAACAGAGATTATGTTAGATGCTGGGCCTTAAAAGTGCCAGCACTGAAGACATACCCAAGATAAAGCAAAGAGGTTTCTCTTGCTCAAGCTCTCCCCATTGCGCTTACAGACAATGTTTAATTTCTGATTTAAAAATCCGACTGTTTTCTATTAGCAGGTTTGCAGTCTTTGTGCTGAGCCCATAATTCCCATCATAATTTGGCTATTTAAAAGTGGTCTTTTTTTTTCTTAGCACAACCAGAAAAAAATAATTACAATAAAAGCAGATACTAAAACCAATTTTAAAATAGAATAAAAAGCTGAATTGTTTAGATATGGATGTCTGAACTCATGTTAATACAATCACAAATTTATATTCTTTCCTGCCAAGTTCCTGAAGACCATGTGACCAACTACAATTCGAACACATCAGCTGTAATAGCTACAGACTGCAAGAAGAACCATATTCATGTAACTGCACCCAAAAGACTCAGATGAGCCGGATTAGTGCCCTAAACTGCTCTGAAACTGCTTTTCACTGCACTCAGAAAAGTTATCATGGGTATCAATATGTATGGCTTATCAGTGATTTTCTGAAGCTGGCAGATTCACAGGATGTATTCTAAAATAATTTATTTGAGCAGTATCATATTTATTCTGAATCATCATGATCGTTTCTATAAATATTCTTATTTTCAAACAATGCAAGGACTTCTTCAATGACAGAGTGGGAGTCATCTTACTAACCTTCAGCTGCATGTGAGGTAAATGTTTACCCTAAGCTGACCACATACTCTTTCTTGGCCAGTACAGTGAGAAAGGTCCTTGTGAAAGGTCATTCAGGCTGCCCTAAGGATAGGGAATCTGAGATACATGGGATAAATCTTTCTCTGAAGGTGTTTCTCTTTTTCCATGGTTTATTAATTACCCACTACAATCAGAGAATGTCTATTTTATGTTCTTTTGACTGTAATTAAGATATTATATACTATCACCATCATCATCACCATTGTTTTCTAAACAAAAGGACCCATAAAGAGTAAAAAAAAAAATAATTGGAATCTTCTGTAGAATCTCTCCTCTGTGAGCCAGATGAAGCTACCACAAACACAGTGGTCCTTAATACAGCCTTTTGGCCATAGCCTCAGTTGAGAGTGGTTGATATACTTGTACACTCTTGAATCTTCAGAGGAACAGCTAAAGTACTTCCACGTGAGCACCCTGGCTCTGCTTTCTAGCATCACACCTGATTAAGAGGACTGACATTATCATGGGTGACTTCTGTATTATCTTTGCCACCTATTTTACAGCCAAATCTAAGAAAAGATCAGCAAGGTTCGCACTAAGTTCAATAAAGAAACAATTTAATCAGGAATTCATGAAGAGAGGTACAAAAAAAATACAATCCGATCAACAGCCCAATTTAGCACTCAATTTTTAAACTATTGTAGTAGAAATCAGAGTTAACTGTATTCTGCTGCATGCAGCATAAATCATTATTAACCAAAACACTTCTTTCCTTTGTCTACAACAGCTGATAACACCACACCGAGATGTTTTCTGCTTTAAAATAATATCACCTTCCATTTCCTCTCCTTTTAGATCTAGAAGAGGGCACATCACAGCATGTTCCCCAACTTCCTTTTATTATGAGGGTTAACTTCTGCTTAGAGTTGTTAAAGAGTATATCCTGCACACTCCTCATTAAAGTTCACATAAGCATTGACTTTCCTTGACTTTCACAGAAGCTGGATGCAGCCATAAATGGTGCCTCACATGATGGTCTGGCATCATATTATTATGAATCCAGGAAATATTGAACCAGGAAACTGAGGCTTCAGGCAATGTTTATGCTAGTGAAGTTAATCCCAGGGAAGGGAAGGCTTCCGTGCTACCAATTTCCTTATGCCCCCTATTTTTAGTCATTATTCACTCCCTGTGCCATCTGTTTGACTTTGGTATTCTCGACTCAAGAGACGCAGTGCTATGGCAAGCCCCGGCTGCAAGAGAGAAAGCAGAAGGTTTATCTCTGTCATTTTACCTGCGAACAGGGCAACATTGGCATGCTTTGCATCATAGGGACACCTGGCCATTCCACTGAATTCATCTCCCAGAAACTCCAGGGTATCCATCTGAAAAACAAAAAGCAGCTCCTCAGATCAAGAAACAAGGCTTCTCACCGAGGATGAGGCTTATGAGAGTGTTTCTTCCTTTCTCTAACTGGGCTCCTGCCTACGAAATAAAAACCTGTCAAAAATCATAGTGTTACATAAAATCAGTCTGAAGAAAGTATGCCCAATAAGTGAGACATTCTTTTGGAGCTAATCACTTTTACCCAAACACACTTTACAAAAATCTTCATTCTATATTTTATCTGTACACAAGCTTCCAAAAAAAATGTAGCAGGCTATGTGGTCTGTCTGTAGTTCTGGCGAGGATTCAGAATTTATGCTCAACAGTGATCCAACGGAAGCACTCTTATACACAGAAAAGTCTGCAAGCCACAGCAGTCAGAAGAAATAACACTAGGACAATTATCTATGTGTGTATTTTTATCACCAAAGTCCGAAGATCCTTCTGATCTAGTCTCAACAGTGCCAGTCTCTTCCTTGATTTGCATACTCAGAAGGATGCTCTCTGAGTCTTACTGTATCAGTTGAGTCTGTGTCAAGGAGAAATCCTCTTACCATCAGGCAAGAATTAATCTGTGCAGGAATTGTAAAATCTAAGGTTTAGGTGTAACTCCTGGGAAATAAATTCATTCCGAGCACTGATAATGACACAAATATACAGATCAACTTTACACAAAGTGCAAGAGGGTTTAGTGAGCTACAGGGGAAAGGTACAGCTGTTACCTCTTTAAGATTCTTATACTACCATACTTTGGGAATAAGACTCTTTATAGCATACTCAAGTAACTTGAGCAGCTCATACTATATAAATCACATACAGTACAGATTCACAGAGCATGAAAAATAACCCACTACTCCAATCATCCAATCAACTTTTAGCTCATATGTTACAGCACCCAAGTCCTCCAGTGGACGATTTGTCATCATTTGTTTTCTCTCACGTATCCCTCCTGTCAAAATCCACTCTAAAGGGAATTAATTGTGTTTACCCAAGGGCTGGAAAGCATTTCATGTGACAGTGACAGGAAACGAGTTACAGGCCTGAGCAACTTTGCCTGCACTGAGCCACAGACTAGGTTCGTCCACACTTGAGGGACAGCCCCATTTTCTATTTGGCACATCTTTAGTGCTTTCTCTACATAATACAGAAATACATGAAGGAAAAGCCAAGGCATCTGTTGGAGAGACCTTCAGCTGACTCCCAGAGGTATTACTATCCAGGCCCTGCAGCTCAGCAACCGGTGAGGCAGTCTGCAGAGGCCATGCATCACAGGGGATGAAACACCTGCAGTAAGGGTAAGAATGGCTATTTATATCCCTCACATCAGGATGCAAGGAAATCTGTACTTGTTTTAAGAGACAGCTTCCTAGCAAGTGGACTGGTTCAGATTGGTCAGCTGCATTAATGGCATTGAGCTAAAAAATGACAAACTGGGCTGAAGACTAACTACAGCACTGAGACTGACAAGCTTCATTTCATGTTTGGAGCAGGACGAAAGCCAAGGAAAAAGGAAAAATCTGCTAACACAGCATCTACCCGTACCACACAGTTACCATGATGCAGGCTTGTATTTTTATTCAGATTTGATTCGTCCTCCACAGATTGAAAGAAAAGACTACCCTGAACTTCTCTCCCATGCTTCCTAGACTATAGCCATCACAATGCCAAAAAAGGTAAAGCAGCACTGCAGAAGCAAGGGAGAGCAGCAGTCACAGCAAATACCACTAAGGAAGTAATTTTCCTGGATGTTAACGTCTTCACTGTTGGTTTTTTTTTTTTTTTTTTCTTACAATAACTCTAAACTAATTAAATGAATGAGAATTGTGCTGTGACTTTATCAGAAGGATCATCAGCAAAGCTGATTTTTTTTTCTTCTTGAAGAAGGATGAGAAATGACTTGTGGGACATAGCAGCTTCTGGAAAAGCAAAGTCTGGGTATCGAGGGCCTAAGTAAATTCATTTCAAAGCTCCTCCAGAGACATCCACTGTTGGGAGTTATGTCAGATTATACTGGTGCAAGAGAAAATGGAAGAGATCTGAATGAATGGGTCCTGTTAAAATGCAGATAATGGGGACACACTATGGCAGAAGAAATCCAAGTCAAGGGATTAATGTTGAGTATCCATGGACCAGCACATTTTTCTGCACTGCTCCAGATAAATGCTTTGGCGTTGTGGATGCCCAGGTGAAGAACACACCACCCTCCTGCTGTACCTGCTCACCCCTGTGGAGATCTGCTCTCAATCGTTTTTTTATAGCACACAGTGCTCTAAGATCTCCACAGCTTCCATAGCTACTGGGTCCCCAACACTAACCTTCTCAGGTTTTGTTGTGTTAAACCCTGAACTGTCCTGAGAACTAGCTTTGGGACTGAAAACAGTACAACAGAGAGATTTAAAACATGCTACCCCAGAGGCTGCCCTCAGGACCAGTCTCTGACTTGATGTAGGTGTCAGTGACAAGCTGAGGATCTCTCTGAGGCATGACTGCATCCCCAAGCAGGGATCTGAAGGACTCTGCACCTATGGAGGGCAATGCAAAGTGGCAATAAACCCTTGATGTACAGGAGTTGCTAACAAGTAGGTGATTAGTCTAACCAATCCTCAGAAAGCAAATCAACACTGAGCTCTGTAGCACTGAAACAAGTAAGGATAAATGCTACAGAGCTGAATGATGCCCTGTTGAGTGACAACCTCACGCTGTTGCCAGCAAGAGCAATAAATCCAACAGAAAGACAAAGTATAAATGAAATCCCACAAACAGATCACATACCTTGTAGTTCCTGCATGAAGGGTTGAATGCATTTGTTCCACAGATAAACAGTGTATCCTCATTTCTTTTCAGGAGAACCTTAATAAAATTATGACACTCATCCTGAAGAAAAATAATAAAATGTATTTCAGCTACTGCATCTTGTGTGCCTGGTTTTATTTTTATGCCATGCTATTTCATTGTCAAGTCCAAAATGAAACTGGCTGGTAGCCACAGTGATATTCTGGGCTTTATTTCAACTACGTTTAACTGACAAGGAGCAAGATGCAATTGATTTATATTCCAATGATTTCAAAATGGTTACTGGAGATATGATATTCATATTCTATCTCAGATTTTGTTACTGGTCACATAGATGAATTTTTTTTGAAAGCTGTTGCTTTCCTCAGGAGTGCAAAATCTGATCTTCTTTTAATCTGTGTTTCTATAAGACAGCAGAATCACCAATGCAATGCATTGCCATAAAACATCTGTAACTAGAAGGGAAGCAAGTGTAAAGAATTGAAGAGTTTGCATATAATTTTGATACCATTTGTGCTAGTCATAGGTTACAGTAGGGTAAAATTGGTATGAGAAACAGTCCTCCTACAACTGTACTTATTCCGGCTTTATGATATACAAACTTTATACTTTCTTTACACAAACTTCTCAGTAAATTCCTGCAGGAGGATGGACAGCAACACTTAGCTTTTGAAACAATGGTAAGCAAAATCAGTACACTAAGCGTTATGCCCAAAATCTTCAGTGCTTTAAGTGATTCAGGATATTGCTGGGGCTCCTGTTGAGATGTTTTATCACATTAAAAGTAAACTATTTTTGCAAATTAAAGCCTTCAGTAAGTTGATGGAAAAAGCAATTACTGGCAAGAAGTGAATGGCATGATCCATTTCACATCACAGGCAGCAGTCTGAGATAATTGTGAAGCAACTAAACTAAAGTGGCAGATGCAGAAGAAATGAAAATTGCCTACCTTATGTTTTCCCTTCATTCTGCATGTGTCTACATCAGCTTGTCTAGATTTCCATGTCAATTTCTGCAAGGATCAAGAAAGAAATCAATTAGAGCCCAGAGGTTGTTCCATTTGATTTCAGAAGTAGAAGTCCCTTAGGGGAGACTAGCTGTTGAACATATATTTATTGAAAGCTTTCTGCACCCTTTCTCCATGATTAATTCACCACAACAATGAAAGATCAGTGATGTGGAGCATTCACTTAATTTTGTGTTGCCATCTATTCATTAGACTGGAAACCTATCCCTTTTTTTTTAAAGCCTAAACCAGTGGAATTCAGCAATAGACCAACTTTCAAAAATACATGCACTTTTCTTAAAAGCACCAGGTGCTCTCTTCTTTTAATTTGATACTGTTCTGCAAATCAGAATAAACATTTATAGACCATAAACCCTAACTGGATTGTAAATTAAATATGTATTCTGGAAGACAACATTTTAAATTAGCAAAGAAATCACATTCAGGTAATTCTTACCACTTCAACTCAGCTAACAGGCTCAGAGAACTCTCCACCTACAATGACACTGCTGACTTCACATGCTAATATTCTTCCTTCCGAATATTTACAGGTAAATCCCAGCCTGGATTTTTTTTGGTGTATTTCAGGAGTGTTAAAACATGGTAGGCTGATTAATTATAGTAAAACTTACTCTAAAACATATCACCTAATATAGTAACACCTTAGACACTACTGCCATGATAGTCCTGACAGTGCTTCCCATTAGTAAACTGAGACACTGTGCACTCACAGAGGGCTACAAGCTTAAAGATTAACCATGAATTTTTCTTTCCATTACATGCCTGTGCCCTCACGTTCTGTTGAATAACTGGGCATAAGCTCATCTTCAGTATCGTTCATAGTTATAATGAAACACTCTCCCCTCCTACAGTGGAATTCATCCAGTGTCCAAATTCATATGATCTGCTGGACCCCGTCTGTCTTTGGGATAAGTTACACAATATGAACACAATGCAAAGGAGCTGAAGGGAGATTATTTCTAGTATGTTTATGTTAATATACAATATGGTAATGCAAACAAAGCTCTTCTGAGTTTGGATGTAACTTCCCATGGAGATAATGTGAATACATCTACAAAGCGATGTTATAATAAGATTTTATTTAGCGAGTACTTGCAGTTGTGAATAAAATTTGTGTGCATAAAAATATGTAAACAGCACTTGTTTTTTATGATGAAAGTTTCAGTACACTTAATTGGTATAGTATAGCTTTTATAGAAAACTGCGGAATATAAATGAATAGACATTTGACAGATGTTCCATCAGGGACCTCACTGTATTTCAGTATGGATTGCTTATCAGCCCAGCTAAATCACTTATCAGAAATTCACAGAGGACATGATTGCTATTCTAGCTTTTCCCAAATATGATTAGCAATGCCATCTTACTTGCTTATTACAATTTTTACATCAGTGCTGGCAAGTTGTTAGAAACAATGTCATCTTCTTATTTATATGAAGCTTGTTCTAGTGTCCTTGGTATCTGGATGATGATAAAAGCTACTTACTTTGCTAAAATAAATTTCTTCTGTATGTGATGTGTCCATATCAACAGTATAAATATGGTCCCTGTAAACAAAGGCGAACAAATGCAAAGTCAAATGGAGTAGTCAGACTGCTCATTTTCTATGAAAAGAGCTATCTATCACAAGACAATCCATAATCCACTCAAAAAAAGATCACAGGTCTTACCAGGGAACATTACCGGCAGCATTGCCTGCTTCTCCCAGAAAAGCACTTTCATATATAAAGTCTTTTCCTTCTCATTAAGGAAAAGAAAAAAAGGCTACAAAACTTCAAAGCTATTTTTTTCCCTGAAACAATTATTGGAACAAATAAGATTTTTGAAAGGAGATGGGCATCATATAATTTCTGCTCTATAGGTCCTACAGCAGGCTACAATCTAGCATGCAGGTGTTTTTGCATATCCTGGAATCAGCTGCAATAACTCTTAGGCAGCCTTTGCCAGATTCCTTGGCTAGAAGTCACTGTGCCACGTTTAGCTGTTCAGGGTTAAAAAGAAGTTAATGCTTCTTTCTTCCTTTCTCTATTTATTTATTTTTAATTTTACATTATGTGTCTAACCTTAGCTGTGATAATTTCATTGACAATATGGTAAGCAAAAAGCTGATCACCACAAAACTATTCTCAGAAATCATTCGTCTCTTCACACACCGGTGGCCAAACCAAACTGTAAAATAGTTTTCTGAAAAAAGTTCACATTTCTTGCTCACATTTACTTTCCTTTATTCCTGAGAACCCGTTCCTCTCTACAATTAGCTGCCAATGTCTCGTTGGAAAGAGAAACAGATTCAGCTACTCAGGTAAAGAGGTATTTTTAAACATTCTGCTCTGTGTAAGCTGAAAACAAGGACATCTCTGTATGGAACCTAAAATTTGAAAAACACACCAACCCACAACACTGTAGTAACCACCAGATCACACTGGGACTAAGGATCTCATTTTTCCTTGAAATAACATTGGATTTTTTCAAAATGCAGGAAGCTCTGCAGCTGGAGCACAATCCACAATACTGAAGGGGTCTGATGAGAGTAGGATACAGACTCTTTCCATTTTAGAAATCCCTGCTCTCAAGGTTAGTTTCATTTTACTGGGTTTTGTGGAAACAGTACTAGTCTCTTAAATAAAGCAAACAAAAAATACTACTATAAGAGGAGTAAGTGACACTTCTCTCAAGTGGAGAAAAGAGGCAGGGAGCTGGCTTTTAAAAATCTAGTGTCTGTCATGGCGCTTGAGGCTGTTTGCTTTGTAAGATGACAAATTGAGGGGTGGTGAGTTTTCTTCTCCAGACTCTGTAACACGAGAGCTGTGATTTACTTCCAAATGCTTTAATGCTTTAGTTTATTATTTGCCTCAGTTTACCAGCAGAGAGGTGGTCAGGATTGTCGCTGGACTAAAATTAACGTACTACACAAGCTGGAGCACAGGAAGTTCCACCTCAACATGAGTAAGAACTTTACTGTAAGGGATCCAGAGCACTGGAACAGGCTCCCCAGGGAGGTTGTGGAGTCTCCTTCCTTGGAGACTTTTAAGACCCGTCTGGATGTGTTCCTGTGTGACCTGCCCTAGATGAGATGGTCCTGCTCTGGCAGGGGGGTTGGACTCGATGATCTCTGGAAGTCCCTTCCAATCCCTAACGTTCTGTGATTCTGTGATACTACCATGGTACCAGCTTCATAGACTATTGCATGGGTCCCTTTTTATGTACGTCGCTCTTTGTTGCTGTCACTCCAACTATATAAAAATGGGAACAACATCTCTTGAATTGCAAATTAGGTGTGTCTGGAGCTCTAAAAATCTTCTTCCAGCACAGCTCTTGATTTTAATCATCAGTCTTGCTGTCCATCAGTTATGCCTTTTTCTTTTTGAACAAGACAACTAGAAAATACAGTGGTGGTACTCAGAAGGAGTCTTGAATTTAGTTCCACTCCCAACAAAACAGCTTTCAGAGGACTTGCTTTCTGGCTCAAGAAACTGTTCAAAGAAAACTCAGATGCTAAGTTACAGGATCATCTGAAAGAGGGTTAGTATCAGACAAATTACGTATTATTTTCTCATGCTGTATGTGAAACAGTAGTTGCTGACAATGTCAGCACAGGGCGAAAGAGCTGTCAGATTCATGGGAGGGCTCTCTAACCACAGACAATGTGGGATTGTCCTTGCCCTCCTTTTCCCACTGCTGCCCAACTGCTACTATCTACTAGCTTTGGTATGTGTACAGCTCACTGCTAATTAAGTTATTCTAACACAAATTGACTTAATCCTAGAGCTTCCGTTTTTCCCACCTCCAGTCAGCAGAACTGAGTTTTGTTGCCATGGTATAAACTTGTGGAGGAAGGGAATTTAAATAATGCCACCGGCTGTGCATGACCCTTGGCCACTCAGTGCATCATCTGGAAATGTGTAACTGCAGATGAGGAGGGAGCCATCCCTATCCTTCCTGGGCTCAATAAACTGTTTTGTACATACAGATTAGGGGTGGCAGATAGTGTGAACAAAAGCTGCCACAGCAAAAGACAATGGGAGGAGGAGATGTGGCAAACTCAGAAAAGGGTGTGTATGTGTGGATGTGGGCAAGTATGAGAGAGACAGCGAGGGAGTACCCTTCCCATGAGAAAAAAAGAAAACAGACCCAATTCTTTGCAGACTGCAAGCCAGATATTTGGACAGCATGGCTTCATGAGCTTCAGCTGATTTAGTCTCATTTACTTTGCCTGGATATCTCTGCCTAATAACATGAAACAAAGCCTTTCCAAAGCAACACAACATTTTACTTGGTAATAGCTAATACAGGAGTCATGTATCTCATATGACGAAATAAGTGACCGACAGACAGAAATTTTGTAGTGGTTTTCAAATCTGAGTTAGTCCTCTCATAAGCGTGCAAACTGTCTGCAAGATAAATACTGGGTTTTCTAAAACAAGCAAACGAACAAAAAACTGCAAACTAAACCAAACAACCTCAAAATAAAAGCTCTCAATGTTAATTTGTTTTGATTGCTTTTCAGGTAATTGGGTACAAACGTAAACTTCACATCACTGTATTTCAATCTTTTAAAAAAAAAACTGCATGAAAGCAATAACTGATATCATAGCTAAGGGATTTATGTTTAGCTACAGTCTTCAATGAAATCTTGCTAGAAAATTCTCTGAGAAACACCTTTGGTTGAGTACACATTTGCTTCAGTCTCTGGATTTACTACTACCTCTAAAGGAGATGTGGTATTGCAGTTATAAACTTTCATTCACACTAGTTATCAAAGGATGACTCATTTTTTGAAGTTTATTACTTAGAGATAAAAATGACCTTTGAATTTTAACTTGCATCACACAGGCTTCCAGCCCAGCAGGGATCTTATTCAGTAACATGGAGAGGGGGAAAAGAATATGTCAAAGAGTTTTAGAGTTACTAAAGGAAAAGAAGTGTAAGAAGATTATTTTGTGCTTGTGTAAGTAGAAAACAGACCAGGTCTTTATGCTTCTGACCTATGATTTATAGGTCACAAAGACCCTAGGAGGATATAAGCACACTCAACAGCAGGTAAAGTGTTTTATACAAATACACAGCCACACAATATGTAAGAATGCATATGCACAAACCAGTACACATACTATCCCCCAAACACTAGTATTCTTTGCATAATATGCGCACACAGTGGTTTCATATCCCAAAATGTTTCCCTGGGTTTTTCTGCTGTAACACCAGTTGCTTAGGCACTGCGACAGTCTAATTGCGTCAGTCTCAGTCTGGGAACAAACTATGAATACAGCAAGAGCAAAAATCCACAAAGCAGATTTACCACCTTCTCACTGCAAATGATTTCCTAATTTAAAGGAAAACAAATAAGGAAAGCAAAGGGAACTCAGCCATGAAAAGGAGGAAATCCTGCCACCACCTTTCAAACCCCTTCAGCCCACTCTCCCACCCTGCTCATTATCGCACTAAATGTGGCAAAAACACTAATCCCCGAGCTCAGGGAAAGCGCAGGGAGGCTTTGCTGTGGGGCTGCCTGCTCTTTGTGCCCTACAGCCACCATGACTGCAGCTCCTGTGGAAGGATGCATACTCTTTGCCCAGACTTGAGGCAAGGGCTTGGCATGAGTGAGAGCCTAGAGCTCTGCCACCCAGACCTTGTACAAAGTGGCGAGAAGCTGAAAGAAGCCACACATAGGTGGTACAGCTGCAATACCTGGGTAGGGGAACAGGTACAAGTGTGGTCTTCTAGCAGCCAGGGACATGACTATAGAAAACGGCACTCAGTGATTCTGCTGGTCTAATGCAACTAATTACTTGGTGCGGAACAGAGATCGGCAGGCAGACCTCCACCAGAGGACACAACCGACCACCCAGGAGATGGGGAGTGGCTGTTTGAGAAGAAAGCCAGGCAGCTCCTGGAGGCTGCCAAGGGCTTTGAGGACAGGACTGGTGCTGAGAGGCTGCCTGTTCAGCAGCTGTTCCCTCTCACCTCCTGGCCATCCCACCCACCACTTCTCCCATCTGCATGAATAGCCTGGCTCTCTGTGGCAGAAGGGTGCATATTTGTCTGATGGAGAAGAAGAATCAGAAAACAGGAAAGAAACAAGCTGCTACCAGTGGGGCAACTTGTGGGGAGGTCCCAGACAGAATATGGGTCCAAGAGCTCCCAAGATGGACTACCCACGCTTGGTAATTTGGACCCTTCTTGTATTCATTCTTGCATCAGTCAGGTAATTCCTACTCCAAGATCATCAATCTCCTTTGCTAACAACTGTCAGGGAGAGGAAGTGTTAATGTCTGATCTGCACCTGGTTGGCGGCTGTATAGATTGGTGTAGCTCCACCAAAGCTGATGGTGCCATGCTGAGCTACACAAACTGAATGGGTGGCTCTACGTGCAATTTTCATAAAAAGACGTGCCTGTATCTGCACACTATAGCTCTCCAAAAAAATCCAGGCACCAAATTCAATTAACCTTGCTGAATGTATCAAAGGAACAGCAGCAAAAGTTTGCCACTTTTTTGTCTTAAGATACTAAAAACATGCTTAAACCAGCAACATTATAACTTAGTAACTCTTACCTGAACATGTATTTGTGCACCAGCAGAAACATTCTCTAAAATATGTCACTAGCAGTGTGCATAAACAAAATTACAGGATGAGGATGGACTCTCTCCCATGAGGCTGAACAATTTCTCCAGCAACTTTCCTTTTGCTGGACAAAGGTAAGCAGAGATGCACAGTCCTGAAAGGACCAGCTCAGCACCTTGTAACATTGAACATGAGTTCAATGTTACCGACTAACAGGGTTTCCCATATGTCTTACTAACAGTTCAAAGCCCTCTTGGAGTGTGAAAAAATGCTAAAATTAACATGTCTGGCAGAGAATAACTCAGAATATCCCTTTGCCTTCTCCTTCTGAAAGCAGTAAGGGAAGAGTGAAGCAGGTGACTACTGACCTAGCAGCAATGTAGAGGGTCCTATTCATGACCATGACAAGCTGGATGTCCAGCCGGTGCCTCTGCGTGGTGTTCCGCCCTGGTTTGTGACCCACAAACACCGGATACTGTCTTGTATCTGTGGGAAGAGGAAAAAAACCTGAGAGTCAAAAGAGAATTAAACTGAAACAGTGGCAACATGAAGCACCATGGGGCCCAAATACGGCCAAGATCTGTACTTTCTCCTCTGCCCCAGCAGCACAGCCTGGGGTTGGAAGGCAAGGGCACAGAGAGCTGGAGAGTTCTTCAAGGTTACAGTCTTGGTAGCTGCAGAGGAGAAAGTCATCACCTTTGTAGAATACAAAAATTTTGAGGTTTTTTTAGAGGGTAAAGCTGTTCTGGAGCTCTTGGCACAAAGGTACAAAGCACTTTCTCACAGCTTTTCTTTCACTGCTTGCAGAGCTTAAATGCTCACTGCTGGCTGCCAAAGTGTGTCTAGCAGGACAAAGCTGTTTCACAGTGGCCCATCAATCACCACAATGACTGGACTGGTAGCAGTTAAAGCAAAAGACTTGGCTCTTCTTGGTTCAAAGTGCCAGCTCCCTGATTTTCCTACAGGATTGGACTGCCATGCAAGAAAGCTGTGGGTATTTCTGTGAAATGGTGGGGAACTACCGCTTGAATCTCATAAAATGAAAGTCACTGCATATTTCTTGGCATCTAGACTGATACTACAGTTCTTCTGGCAATGGGACAATACTGATTGGGAGCCCCGCATTGAGCTTATCCTATCAACAAGTCAGCTTTCCCCACAACTCTGGTAGAGTTAGCAACAGCATTTATTCACTCTATTCCCTTTTTTTTTTTTTGTGGGATCTCAGCACACACAGGCTGCACTGCTGCTCCCTAGATGATCTGTATGTACAATCTATAACAACAGTGAATACTTCTGGCCAAGTGACACCTTGCTGTTAAGCCTTCATATGTATATATGATCGTGGTGTCTAGATGCACAAACTAGGGAGCTAGTTAAGTAAACAAAACAGCAGTTAGAAGACAGGAGGAGGATGAACCTGCCATAAGCATCATCATCAATGCAGAGCCGACTAGCATCTAGCTATGCGTAAGCCTTCTTCCTATCAATATGCTTTCCCATAAACCTGGAGCTGTTTTAGGGAGTCTGTTTCTTCAGAAACTCAGCAACTGCTTTAGTGTTGTCAGCTATTGTCCTTTAAAAGTATTTTCCCTGTTAAGCTTGATTAAACTATTGATTCACAGCATGGCTGCCCCAAAATACCTGAAAGTGCCATGGGTCAGAAAGCCTGGTGATGATACCAGATAGAAACAGGAACTTCCCAGAAAACCAGATGTTGAAAACTCTTGGAGAAACAAATTAAGACAGCCAAGGCAGGGCTTATGTTCAGCAGCTTAATCCTTCTGACCAAGGTCTACATGCAAAATGCCAGGTTTAACTGTGAGGCTCTTCTCTGTCCAGTGCCTTGTCCCCTGTAACTTATGAATTTAGCACAAGCTGGGGACCTGTAGATTCATGTGCATTTCAGCATGACATGCTTCACAGGAATAAGTCATCCAATGCTCCGTTTCTCCAAAAGGATCAAGACTAGCTATTTCTGCACCAGCAAGCATGATCAGCATCACCCTTCCTGGACGGTGAAAATGCTGCTTCTAAAGACCTAGTGACGACACTATGCATGTTTCAGCAGTTTGCTTCAGGGCAGTTCTGCCTTGCTTTTGTATCCCAGATGCCTATTAGCATTTGGAGCACATCAAGTGTGCCCCAAGAGTCTGTCTTACAGTTTGATGTTACCCAAGACAGACAAGTTTATGGGTGCAAGGGCCACTCCAAGGCACAGTGAACAACATCAATCAAGAGGTTCACTTTAAAATCAAATTCCTGACCCAAAATAGGCTTAAACACAAGCCTATTTGCTGATTTGCTGACATTGCTGACTTGCTACTCCTTAGTGTACTTTGCAGACCCAGGCCCTAAAGACTTCCTTTTAAACATCTGGACCTTTGGGACTTCAGAAGACTTGACTTTATAATATTCATAACCGAGCTGAGGTAAAAGTGAAAAGAAGCAGTTATGCTAAGCCTGACTTGCATGGTGAAATACACAGAAAGCTCTCCACCTGTTCAGCCAGAAAATCTCAATACAGATTCACAGCCATCTGTATTACCCTAGATTTTGGAGAGTTTGCCAATGATTGCTGGTAAGAAAGAAGAGCATTTGTTACAAAAGATTCTTTGTCTTGATTTGGGTTTCAGCTACATTTCCAGCTAAGCAAAAAACGCCTACTGCTACGGTGGAATCTATCAAAGCTTAACGAAGTTAAGTTGAATTATTTGTATTAGATCAATAAATTATGTTTTCAGAGCTCACAAGTCAGGTGAGGGATACTTTGATTATGTGGCGGGGCATGGAGAAAACTCCCTTTGCTGCTAGATAGACGAAGATATTTGGTTTGATTATGCTTCTGAATTGTCTGTTTGAGAAGCAGAAAGGCTGTAGCTTTGGAAGATCATGCAGTTTACCACCCAGTAATCATCAGTCAATGTGAAAGAGTCATGTTCCTACTGTAGTACTTGAGAACGTGAATTGGCTGTCTGAGAGACATCAAGAAAAACAATGTTATTCATTGCAACTCTAACAAAATACTGTTGAAGTCTCCTGATCCATATTAAGCAAATGAAGTCCTCTGGCCTCTTATACTTACAGTTGCCATGCGAAATACTGATTGGCTCAGAATCTTCAGGGAAACCAGCCCCAGCAAAGTGTAGCAGTGTGAAATATAGCAGCAAGGCTTCTGACCTCATAGTAGTTCAGCTGGGAGGCTTCACTTCTTCACTTCACCCTGTGGAAGGCAAAAAAGGGCTTAAGTGTCTTCTGTCAATTCACTTTTAACCACTGCATACAGAAAGCTAAAATAAAAATCAATGGAAAGTAGAAGGACATTTCTTTCTCCACAAGCCTCTCACGTGATGAGGTATGTCATGCTTCTAAGCAGAAACTGCCCTAACAGGCCAGTTTCCCTTTAGCCCATATCACATCTTGCTTGAGGATAGACTTACATATGTTTGAATTATGAAGAATTTTCTGCATCAGCTCCTTATATGCAATAAAGAAACTTTGTCTCCTGCACTGGTTGACAGCTGATGAGAGTTTTCCAGGAAATATTTTGTTTTCCTCTTCTTTGGTTTACATAACTAGATGATGACATGATGACACACACCATAAATAAAAAAATCCATGCTACATTGTTCTGGTTAAAAAGAGATTAATGATTATATTACGGGACTGATTGATACACTGCAGTGTTGTGAATCAAGTGAAGAAACGCTGAGAGAGCTTGATGGACAAGGCAAACCATGTCATTGGGCTTTACCATAAAAATATGTACACATAAATTTAGGTGCCATAAGACCAGTACTCCAACTTGCAATAAAATAAGGGAGAAAAGCACTGTTGAAAATCAGCACTTTTCCCCTCGTGTTCCACTGACACATTCACTCATTCACATTTCATGTACAAAAATATCCCTAAGTCTTGGAGATAAAAGGGACCACAGGGGCCTTTGGATACACTGAAAGAAAACAGCACATAATACAGTAAATAGCTCATAATTCCCAGGCAAATTTCAGAGACATTGATCTGCAGGGGAAATCAGTGTAAAAGTAGGGTTTTCTTTTCATCCCTTCCAGAGTTTCAAACCTTTGATGCTGCCTGCCAAACATTCCTTTTGAACAAAGCTATTTTACGGTAATCTGTCAGTCATTCAAGATTTATGGGCAGAAAGTCAAACTTCATAACCTACATAGTCTTTGAAACTTAATTTTGCAAACAAAGTGCTAAATTGTCCTTTTGCAACACCATTTAATATTAGATACCTACACCTCCTTTCCTGATGCAAAAAAAAGTATTAACAAGTCTTGAGTGTTGCATCTGGATTTTTAATTTCACAGACACATCTGATTCTTTTACCCAATTGAAGAATGTCACAAAAATTAATTCACCTTATCAGATATTTGCTTTCAAATAAAATTTCAGCTCTTATAACCGGATTGAAACAGGGATTCTGTTGCAGGGTAATACAGTCCATAAGAACTAATGATTTATTATACTCTCTGTTTGCCTATTATTATTCAAATGCACAAATTGGAAACTTGGCTTATTCTCTACTTCTGTTAAGAAAATAACCAAAAGACCCAGTTAAACTGAGACTAGGAAAAATAAAATTGCACATAAAGCAGTGACTGACACCAATACTGAACTAAGTGTCAAGACGGACTGCAAAGGATGAAAGTATCAAGAACAAATGCAGCACAATGCAGCCACTGACTATTATGCCTTATGTGAGAACTCATACTAGGAGATAGCATGTACAAGCCCCCAGAGAAGTGTTTCCATCTAGCACTGGTTAGGCTGATAGCTGTGTATGATTACTGACACAGTTACACCTGCCTGCAGACACTTTCTATACCTGTTTCCTCCATTTGTCTCTTTAATCACCTCTTAAGTTTTCTCTTGACTGTTAGCTCTCTGGGGCAGGAACTGCTTCCTTCTATAAGTTTCTATTCTCAACAAAACATTGTTTGGGGCTTTTAGGAATGGGTAAAGTGGAAATAAGCAGCAGACATAAATATAATACTTGGAAGCACAGGCTGTCTCAAAAGTTTTGGATTAAAAGTAAGATCCACACATTAAAGGGATTAATTCCTTTCTCTCTGTACAATTTTTTGAAACGTTACTTTACCACTCTAGAAATGTTGCCCCTGCAAGAAGACTGCAAAGTGACACAACAAAGTGTGTCACTTAATACATAAATAGACTGAAATTCTTTCCTTCCTGAAATTGTTACAGTCCTAAGCAGAAGTCTTTTCTAAAGTGCACGAGGAGCAATAGTTTAGTGGGAAGAATTTATCAAGCAATCCAGTTCTTCCACTTAAACCTTATTCACCCACAGTATCAGTCAGCAGGCTGACAATTCAAACCACTCGGCTCACAGTGAGACTCTGGAGCGTAAGAGTAGCTGCTTTCTGTTACTCCCTATCAGCACATCATCCACTATCTAACAATGTGTGTACTCCAGGAGGAAAGCACTGTGGTACTGCAGACACACTGCTGCCACTCCACTTTAAAGCCTGAAAAACTTTTCCCGTGGGTGATTCTGCACCATCACTCCCTGCTTCTCATTCAGACACATGTACCACACCACATAAATGTATCTGGGAGACAAGACCCAAGAAAATGAATAACGCCCAGCATGCTTACTTTGTACTTTTGTTTACATATTATTGAGCTGGATCTTTTTTCCTTTACCTGAGAAGAATTAACTGACAAACGAACTGACATATTGCCTTCTAACAAAGACTAGATTAGTAGGTTTTTAACTATATGAAATTCTCTGTCATTCTTAAAGGTATCTTCCGGAAGAGTGGAAAGAGAGCAAAAAATCCCAATTCTCTGCTGCTCTAATGCTAACATACTTGTTCAAATTCATTCAAAGTAAATGCAAAATGTCCACGTTGATCCGTCAATGATTCAGGTGGACTGACTACACATCTGAATCAATGGCTGCGCCAACAAAATGACATCAGCTAGGATTCAAATTACATCCAATTTGCATCCAAAGGCAGCTCTTTACTAGGAGGTAATTTTTCAAACATAATCTTAATTTTGTTGTTCTTACAATGGTGGAAAAAGCCATATTGTTTCAGTGGAATTTCAGAAAAGTGCTGATTTGAGAAGGTCACACTTATTTTTAGTATAAATTTCCTTTTCAGTAAACACTCAGTTCTGGTTGGGCTCCTGGGAGTGATGCAAATGTTCTCACTTGCAACTATGCTGAAACTACTCTCTAATCAAATGTGCTTGTGAACACAGTGTCTGATGAAGCATGAGTAGCTAGACAGTAATGCTGATTGAGTATAGGTACTGTGTCCAAATAAAAGTTTTGCAAACATCAGCGCAGAGATCTTCAGTCAATGCAGGCTGCTGTGGTTCAATCTGGCCTGTATTAAGCCACGCTGGTTGACAGAGAACTGGCCGAAGAACTCCAGTTCTCTGTTCAAAACATGATTACTGCTCCTGTGGAAGGAAGCTAGTGGTGACAAGAACAGTGAGTTTTCATGGTCTTCTTTTATTAGCAGACATGCTAATAAAATACAGCCCTGCAAACGTTTAAGAGCACGTTTTATAATCTATGTCTAATGGAATGACTTGTAGCCATTGAGTTGGTGGAGTAGATCAGATTACTTCCAAGCTTCAAAAAAACCCCCAGCTAATCTGCTTCTTGTGTGCCTAAAACCAATGCAGATATGACTTTATGCGACACACTTTGGTGCTCTGATCCTTCTTTCTGAAGCAAATGATTTCACATACCTGCGTAAAATGACTTATTCTGGTTACTTCTGTGTTCACTACTTTTTGTCATATTACAACTGAGTATAAACAATATGATTTCTTAACATATACAGAAATCAAAGTTTTGCCTTCCCAGATGGAAGCTCTCCTGTTTAAATGCTGCAGCCTAAAGGTGAACCACCCTGAAATAGGACGCCTGGATACCAAAGCCTACATATACATACACAAGCAGGTTTCACCCCCACCTCCATCCCCCCCATGTTTGACATAGGGGCATTTAATTTTGTAAAAATCATGCTCCTGGCATGAAGGTATTTCTGAAGCTAAGAAAGTAAGGATCACTCCAAATGAAGGAGAAAAGTCTGATTTTTTTTCTGTGCCAAATGCCCTCCACTGTGGCTATCCATGGCTATTAGAGCCGACACGACGCCACCATAATGAGCTCTGCTTTTTGCTGTCTGATATTTTTAGCACTTAATGAACAACATTCTGGGTGGAAATGCAAATAGAATAGCTCCTTGGCTAAGGTAGTGATTAAGTAACTGCTGCCATAATACTCTAGTAACCAGGTTATTGTACCTACAGCTTCTATGTTCCAGAAAGGTTACATAAATCACATGAAAAATCCTAAACGGAAGAGCTGACTTCCTGGTAAACTCCATAAAAGTGTAAGGCTAGATCTGATCTTGAGAACAAATTCATCAGCAACAGCAATGACTCTGTAGACACATCTATAAATAACTATTGAAAGAAACGCTCTTAAACCTCCCATTTTGTTGCTTTGGCCTCACCGTACCTTCAACTAATCCCAGCATAACTCCAAGTAAAATCAAAGTTTGTAACCATGTCGGAATTTTCCCATGGCACAATAAGCCTGCTCAGTAATGGATGGATCTTGTAATATTTACTACAAACCTTCTTTGTACCATGAGGAGTTGTGCTCATACACAACAGCTGCAGTTCAATCCACAAATTATTAAGCTTAATGTGAGAACTACCAGGCTAAATTCAATGGTCTGTTTCATGCATGAAGCAGGACCAGAAAACCTAATGGCCATTAAAAATTACTGTCTTAAACAAATTCTTTTGTTTCTACAAACGTGTGGAAATAACTCTTCTTCAAAAACATAGCATGTCTAGTAACAAGGAACAGCATTTAACCAAACAGTGAGGAAACCACGAACCGAAGCATCATCTAAACTACTGCAGAAGTAAAAATGCATGACGAGAAAAGGAGCAAATTCTATGAACTAATGCTGGAAATAAAGTAAACAGCCCTTTGCATCACATTCAGCATTTCTTACCCCCAGAAGAAAAACATTTAAAAAAAGGACCATAAAAAAGAAGGGAAGAAAACAACTTGGGTTACATAACAGAGGTAACAGATTTGAGATTCTACTGTAGTAAGAGCTTCAAAGGCGTGCAAGTGGACTAGAAATCCAAGACCTATTTCTGTGTCTCATTGAAAGACTTACAGAGCAAGACCTATCTAC